GGCTCCCACCCGCCCTTGTCTCTCTGCAATATACTCACCCAAGCTTTGAGGGCTAATCGCTTCCAGAGCCAGAGCTGTCCTCCAAACTGTGCCAGCAGCCTTTCAGTACATTTTGCACCCTAAAAACTTCCTTCTGGCCTCTAAATGAATATTGTGTGAGTGTGATACATGAGCTGAGCGAGCCACACTGCAGAAGCTGTACGTGCTGTGATTTTATGTACAAATGTGTTTAATTTAGAGACATTAAATGCTGGTTGTTGCTGACATGGGCAATGTCCAGTGCAAAGTTAAATAATGAAAATTGCTCTGTAAATGTCATCATTTGAGATGCTACAACTATCAACAAATGCTTTAAGGGCACTGAACCCTCAACACTGCTGTGCAGAGTAGACTACTGGAAGATTAACTGCACCTGAATGTGTCCTTGGTTGACACTCAGCTGCTGAAAAATAAACACATTCTTGGTCTAAGTGAAATAGCACATTAATTAATATCACGTGCATATTGTAGCCCATTCAGGATACAGCTGCAGTGAGCAGCTTCTCTCAACAGCAAGCATGTTGGGAGACATCTTTGTTTTACTTGGCTGCTAGTCATGAAGTTTTCTGGCATCTGGATCATCTAAAAAGACAAATGGGTGTGTTAGCTTGATAGAATAATTGTTCTGATTTTGATAGGCTAAGCTTCACATTTGTCTAGCAGCCAGAAAGTTGGCTTCAAAAATCCTCTGGGATATAATATAAACCAGTTTGTTTGATCAAGGCTCAATTAACTTTTTGTAAGATAGCTGAATGAGGTGGCTTATGACGCACTGTGCGGTGGGGGTGGGGGCAGATGTAAGTCAGGTTCATTGTACACTGCTTTGTCCACACATTTGTCCAGGTATGAAATGTGTGTAAGTGCTCACCTGTGTTTACACTCTAGGTGGGGGTTTCTTTAGGGGGTATCCTGCCTTGTTTATAGTGGATTTCTGCCCCTCAGACCATTCCTTCTTCATCTTCATCTTCTGGGCTGTACAGCATCTGCATCCTCCCCTTAGACCCTGGGCCTAACCGCAAAACTTTCTTAACTTTCTTGAGAAAATAATGCCAACTACTGAGAAAATACAGGTGAGTTGTAACTTAGTTAACTATTTCAAACTTAATACATTTCAGGCTTAATAGAAGATATCAAATATGACTGCTGAACACCTCCTACATCTGCCTACATTTTAGTTTCCCAAATTACAACAGTCTCTAAATTAAACATGAAGCAAGAACACGTGTGTGGCAGTCTTTGTGTGCTTCCTACTGTGTGTGGTCATAGATTATCACTGATGTTGCGTTGTGCTGCCTTTAGGCAACACTGAGGGCACAAACACACTTTTGAGGATAACAGGTGGTGAACGGCTGCCATCTAGTGAAATAAAGTTCGAATTACAAACTTTTTTTAAATTAACCAAACTTGTGGGTGTGCAAAGCAATGGCAACCCACCTGTTAGTAGCACGAACACATAGGCTAGTTTTTAGTTAGCTGTTCACATTTTAGGCCAGGAGCAATGGTTTTTAACTTACCTGGCTGTCTGAATGTCATAACCTTCACTTACCTGTTAGCTAAAATCCTGGTCAGAACTGAGTTAACCTTACTCCACCAGAAAATACCAAATTCATTGAAATATTGCTATTATTTGACAACACAACGACGCTAACTAGCCCTTGTTAATGAGCGCCTGACAAGTGGCGCTTACCTGAAGCGTCTCCTAGTTAACCTGAACAGGTATGCTAACGGTACAGTATGCACAGAGAGTAAGCGTCATTGTTGAACTTTAGCGGGTAACTTAGTTAACACAAACTGTTCATGTAGTCTGTAGTTTTAATTAATTTAGTTCATTAGTTAATTGAGCGGGTATGGGCCCTCACTCCATACCAGTTGGTGGCTGCAGTGCACTTGTCCCCTTGTTTGCCAGCCAGCAGAAACCAGAAGAAGAAAACGAAGCTCGAGAGGGAGGAGGAGAGGAGGAGAGGAGGAGGAGAAGAAGTGGAGAAGAAGTGGAGAAGAAGTGGAGGATAGGAATAAAACAAGTAAGGATCTCTCACAATTTAAAACTGAGGTTGGCTGGTTTCATGGTCGACAATGTGCAGCTGTGATCATGTTAATGTTTGTTTATGTAACTCTGTCCTGCAGTGGTGGAATGTAACTAAGTAGATTTACTCAAGTACAAATTTGAGGTACCTGAGTCTTTTCTTTTCATGCCACTTTCTGCTTCTACTCCACTACATTTCAGAGGGGAATA